GCTCAATAAAGACAAATAACAATCATGTTAAGGAAATTCTGAATTATAAATTTCGAGTGATGAAAAGCTGTGAAAAATGTTGTGTTCTCGTCTCTAAAGTTACTACATGACACGTGCGAGAGTGTGGGATTTTTAACTTTCTCCTCCCTTTCGTTTTTTTTTATACTTCCACGGGTATTGTATACATATCATGACGTTGCTGTTTATTCGTCGAAACAAAACTGTACATTTTACGAATCTCAATCGGTACAATACCTAATTATTTTAAATAATATTTCATCGGTTGCGTATTATGAAAGATTTTATCATGGTATGATATAACTGAAATTTAAAATTTTATGAGGATTACAATAAAATAAAATTAGGTTCGATCTTAACGATGCGGTCGAATTATAAAATAATCATATTATCATTGTTATGTCAAACGTCTTTCCTCTAATGCCCCCCCCCCTCACATTGAGCACACCATCGCCATCGTCACCATCCCGGTGTAATGACTGAGGACGTGTCGTATGCACACGGAGGAAGGAAACAGACTGAACACGATGTTTTAAGTACGGCGTGGGTATCGGCTGAGACGACGACGACGTGCTCGGTAGGTCGTCGCGCGTGCGTTTTTGTGAGAACGGAACACGTTGGCGGCGGCGGCAGCATGGCACGTGAACTGAATATGTAAAAAGTGTCGACTACGAAGAACGATAGAAAAAAAAAATGAAAAAAAATATATAGCATGTACCTACGAGGTGACGTGATGTGGGAAAGCCAGTAGTCTGAGGTCGGTTTTAATCTTTCGGCTTCGGAACTATATTAAGCATTCATGAGTATAGACGTTAGTTGTTTCATCATCAAATCATCAATAGTCTAAAATCAATGTCGTCGACAGGTGGAACGTTTTCGAAAAACAAAAATATACAGAAAATACGAAACTATTTGTCGACCCACATGATTGGTCAACAAATAGATACAATATACGATTCGCAGTACTTACTTTAATTGTGCAGGGATATAGATTCTTGAAATGTTCATTTATTTTGATCTAATATAGGTACATATTAAAATACATCCTTATATTTATACTGTGAATTTAATATTCGTGCCGCCGAAGAAATTGTATATTCTGAACAGTTTTTACTCTAAAATACTTTTGTAGGTTGTGTCACGGGATGCCCATTTATTTTAAGTACAGAACAAAAATAATAAGATGCACCTACACTTAAAATTCGAAACAAAAAAAAAAAGAATATGTGTGTACCAACATATAAAAAGAGTTTTATAATCGGCAACACTTCACCTCGCCCGCACCAGCAAGAGATATTACATTATTATTCGGTATTGTTACGGTGAGCCGACGTATAAAACTGTGTACAGTTTAAGTACGACACTGATAAAATGCAACACGAATTTTAATGCCGGCATTAACAATATAAAAACGTTATTCTAGTCTCTAGTCTCGTTATTCTAGTATTTTAATGTCTTACATTAATACATGCGAATTCATGAATCATTTATTTTAGTTATATTATAACTAATCGAATATATTGTACATATTATACTTAAACATGTTTTTATTGACTAGAGGTATAAGGACTAAATATTAAACAAGTAACAGGAGTTATGAAGTTTTTTTCGGAAAAGTCTAAACAAAAATGTCAAGTATGAACTCCTATTTAATATAATACCGTCAAATAGGGGGGCTGATTTTATTTTATATTTAATGGTATGGAATATTTTTTTATGTATAAAAAGTATTAGATGCTATTGAGGATAACGGAAATAGCTGGTGTCATGTTTATATATGTGTGTATATATATATATAAAAATAATAATGATAATTGATGCTCGTCGAGCGGATGGCTGCATAAAGGGTGGCGCACGACTTAATTGGGGCTCCACCATAAGTACAGAGAACCGAAATTAAAAATATTCTTTCAGCACAACGGAGATTACGACCAAATTATGAGCGCAGGATCTGTATTATGACAGTAGTATTAGTTAATGCGCATTGACAGAATTCACACTCTAATTGTGCAGATTTGTCGTTCCTACTGCTCCTCGTTGCTTCTGGAGATAAAATAAAGTTAGTTTCAGATTATTTAAAAAATGGCATCAGTTGGGGTGGCTTCTTTTATCATTTATTAATGTTTTTTTTATTCATTTTAGATATTTTTATTGCATCATTTTGATAGTATGGTACTTATGAAAAAAAATATTTTAAATTTGGGGCACCCATAAGAGTATAGACTATAGACTCTAATATATAGAGCTAAGAATTCTATGGATCATCATATTTTATTCCTTTGATCTAAATACATCGATTTTCAGATATGTACACAAATTTTCTATTATTAAATAATTGTGTTTTTTAATACTTTCTCCAAAAAAATTATGTAGTAAATCGTAGTTTTCCACCTACCGAAAATCTGAAATTAATGTTTTATTTATCTTCAAAATAATAGGTTATACCGAATAAAAGATAAGGTTTAATATTAACAGGTTGTGAGTTGTGTAAGCCTTGTAAATTAAATTTTTTTAATTTTATGCGTGACATTTAGTGTATCTAACATTTATATAAGCAATTTCAAAGAATGGCCTAGTTCAAAGTAAAATATGACAATTTGTTGAAGAATTTTCAAACAAAACTGTCAAAACTCATAGTAAAATACCTAATTATATTATTTGCGATCAATTTTTATACGAAAACTATGTAATGTTTAATAAAATTAAAAATATTTTTTTAATTTTGCATATATTTGCATATTTTACCATGTTTTATTGCATATAAATCCAAGCCCTAATATATTATAGTAGGTACGAAGCAGAAATTAAGTATATAATATTGTACATATTATCCTAATTTGTTTTTTATTTTTTATCTCAACGAAATCTCACGATATTTTAATATTACGATACACTCGTAATGATATATTATGCTTTTGTTTTCACTTACATCGATGTTCTCGTCCACATTGCACTAAGCTGAAATCTCTGACCACCCTACACCTACATAGATTATATACTCAGGACATTATGTAAAAATTAACAGTATCAAAATTGTTTTGATTGTGTTTAAAAACATTTAATTTTCTTTAATAGTTCTATATTTAAAAAAAATGTATAGTTCAATACATTGTTTACACAAAAGTTATTGCCATTCACAGAAATATTAAATTTGTAGTCTATGAAATGCATATTTGAATGAATGTAACAATTGTTAAATTGCACATCCATTTTTATCTAAATAGATAAGTTAACTACATTATTTTGGAATACTTGTGTTTGGATATATTATAAAATAATTATAACACAAAGTGTGACATGTTTGTATGCAAGTAGATAGGTACTGTAGGTTATTTAGAATTATTTGGAAAATATTCACTCGAAACTATATGTGTTTTTATTATTTTTAATTTATTTTTATTTTCAAATTTATAATGACAAAAATATAAAATATTTTCAAGACAACTTTATTTTAATTTACTGAATATATGGCTTTTAAAAAATATTACCATGTTAAAGAAGTTCAATTGATTCCAGTTTAACTAACTAATACTAAATTATTATATGAGTTTATCCAAACTAAAATAAATACTATACTTTCTAGGTAGATAACGAACGTGGTTGATAAAAAAAAAGTGATATTAAATTTGCGTTTAATGGTGATTTTGACTTTTGTTTAAACAAAAAAAGAATTAAAAATACAATTTTTGTTCTCTACTACCTATTACAAAAATATTGGATTATGCATTTAATATGGTTTGTCTGAACATTCCTTTATAGATCAATTCATTGATGCAAAACGAAGGCGTGTATGCTAGCATTTACGTGCATACTAAGGCGTGTCACTTCTCCTGACTTTCTAATTATGCAATTATGTGACTTACTGAGTTCTAAATATTATGTTATCATTTTATATTTTGGTTCTTAAATTGTCTGAATGTGATGAAAAACAAAACTAAATTGGTCGCAGTTTTCTCGAAATATAGTTATGAAGTTATCTAATAACATTAATGCAATTTATTATATAGTACCTATTTAAATTGAAAAAAAGGAACTATTATATACTGAAACCAATTGAATAATAGTAAATACAGATATTTCTAAAGTTACACATACCGTATACTATACAAGTAATAAAAATTGTATAGTTTCTATAATCATTTAACTCTTTAATCTTCAATTCGAATAAATATAGCACATGCAACATAACCCTATATATTGGTATCTGCACGTTTTTTTAAATATAGAATCACAATTAAATAAGTATTTATATTGTATGTTAATTATTAGAAGATGGTTAAAATAAAAATAGTTATTGGAAATCAATAGAAAAATCGTTCATTAAAAGGGTTAGTTGATTATAATTATAACAGTGTCCAAGATTGATCCGTAAAAAAAGTTCCATGTTTCTTTATATTTTGTACTTAATTTACGATCAATTGAAATTAAGACGTGCATTTATTGTCTTATAATTAGATACCTTTCGTCGTTAATTGCAAATGTATTAAGACTAAAGGTACGCTTACGTAATCATAAGTATTTCGTAAAAATAATTCTAAATACACAACACTGAGTTCATGTATACAGTTTCACTGTTCAAGAATAATGAAGTGACATTAATCATATTAGAATTGTATAAACAATGAGGAGTTATTAAACCTTCCAATAAAAAAAGGAACGAAATCAATAACTGTTATTAAAAATATAAATCGTTTCGAGCATAGAGAAATAATTGATTATATTTGTGCGTTTTTCGTTGCGAAAAAAGTATATATTATATTTTTTTTCAAAACGCTTTTCGCGGTATTTGATTCAAAGCGAATCAATAAGAGCCCTAAATCTGACTGAATCTGACTAAATCTGTCTGTTTCACATGTAACTGTATTGTTAATAATTATTAATTGTTATTGGTGTTGTTAAACCTACGATACCTATCATATGTGTATACCTATTGTAGTATATTAATAATATTGTAGTATGATGCTGCAACCAAAATAATATACCTTATCGGCTTGCCGGAGACAATCGATGCGCCGCATTTTGCCCTTCTGGTCGGGATTGGACAGCACGCACATGGCCGGTTTTTTGCCAGTTATGCTCAGCACGAAATCCTCCCGGCACTCCTGAGTTATGTCTTTCCGAAGCTTTCCTAAAAGCCGAGACGCCCATTTCTGTTTCACCTCGGGTTTTTCGTTCTGCAACAATGCAAAAATCGCGGAAATCCATTAAACGTACATACGTATATACACATATACATATATATATATATATATATGTATTTATTTATTTATTAGATATATGTGACTATACCCGATAAGTTTTCGGTACATTAAGTTTCTTTGCGGTAAAATAAAAATAACCTTCGTACGCACGCATTATGCGTGTTTATTAAACGTGCGTGCGCGAGTATTCGTATTTATAATATAATATATTGTCGTGTATTATAGCGTATTTAATATTTATAGCCGATATCCAATAGCCGGGCGCACAATGTTTGATACATACTATAGATAATAATATATTATGTTTTTTTTTAAATTTTTTTATTGAGGCGGAATATTGATTTCGGTTTGTATAATGTGGTGGTAACTGCTGTAGGTAACTGCGCTATATGTAGGTACTCAACAAAGTAGGTGCATACAACATGTAGCAGTTATATTCGAAGGGTACGTGAATATTATATTATAATTATATATTATATTTATTATTTCAAAGTTATCTGGTTGAGTATTACTTTGATCCACAGACCCCCCCCCCCCAAAAAAAAAAATAATATATAGGTATATTGGCATATTACGACAAGTAAAATGCAAAACAGTAACTCTGACGGAAGACATGCTCTAGCAAACATAAATGATATGGTATTAGTAGTAGATCTTATTATTTGACAAGATATATCATAGGTACAAAATAATTAAATATAAGAATGCTAGGGTAGGATACAAGAGTTCTAAATGAAGTAAATATAACTTATACAAAATAAAACAAATACGATAGGTATTATAGAAATAAATAATAGGTAATATTAAAATTGACTGTAAAGTATGCACTTATTCTATATATGTATTAAATAGGTTATAGATTATATTATACATTATATGATATACATCACAGTATATGCGCTATTATTTAAATTTATTAATGTCATATTAATGAGGAAAAAGTACATTAAATTGCTACCTACCTATATATTTAGCAATATCGAAACTAGGAGTGAATAATTAATTACTCATAGGGTTAAGATAGGTATAATTTTATTAAACGTATGTACTTTTGTGGATTAATAAAAAATAACTCGATTAAAGTTAAATTAATTCAAATGTTGTCACTCATTATGAAATATTATTATTAACTCTCTCTGCAATCAATAAATGAATTAAAGTTTTTAGAAAAGAGTAATTAACACTATAGAAATTGAAAAAAAACATTCTCAATAGTTAATATATGCAAAAATTATATTATATTATACATTTAATATAGTACCATTTGATGGGACATTATATAATATTATACGATCAAGACATTTGTAATTTAAATCGTATAGAACCACTCGTTTTGTTTGTAAAAATATATCATAAATATATTTCGTACGCATATTTATAAGTATAATAACAATAATATACAATACTCTATCGTATTTCACATTTGTTTCCATTATTATTTCGAACAGCCTAACCTAACGCGTACGAGAATATTAATGAAGTCTTTTCGTAGGTAGATTTATTATTTATATTTTATAAATTTTCATATTTTAATGTAGGTAGGTACCACATTGTCTACATTACATTGCCACACGTAGTTCGGATTTCTCGTACGTAAGCCGCAAACGAATCAAAAAAACCACATAAGTCACACAACGATATTGTTGTACAAGGTGATCCATTTAAGAGCCATTATTTCGAACACTTTTAATTTTTTTGAACGACAAAAGAAAAAAAAGTAAAAACCTTACACATTATACCTAACAATGTAAATTTTTTTTCAAAAATGTTGTTTTAACAATGTTAAAGGTTTAAACGTTTTTTTAAAACGTTTAAATTTTTCGAAATAATAAAATATGTATACACTTAAATTGATCATACTGTACATATTGTAATTTACTGTCAGTGTCGGTCTGACTTATGATTTGGGGTCTGTGGCACACCGATTTTCTGCTGCAGTGGACCCAGCGTGCAGTACATAATCATAAATGTGTTTAATAAAATATTATAATAAAGATGCAAAATAGATCATTGGTGTAACGTTAAAGTATTAGATATAGTATTAACAGAGCAGCGCTTGCCGAGTGCTCAGATTCATTTCCCGTGTACAAATGTCAAAACTATCTTTCGGATTATTAATGCGGACAATAACTAAACTTAATAGGTATATGGATTTGATAATAAATAATAATAATAATAATAATAATAATAATAATGATATATGAATAATGTTTAGTTCATATAGCTTGGATAATACGGTTTAGAATATTTTTACGGACGTTACGAGGTACATAAATAATATTTACTATCCTTTCGAATATATAGTTAAACCGCCGATCCTATAATAAATACTGATACCGGTTTCGGTGGCAACTTTTCGAGCGCGAACGCGTCAGTCGGCGAATCTAAGCCCGAGTGAGGTCCACCGTGCGTAATTTGTTCTTTTTGTAGAAACATAAAGTGTAATAAATACCTACGCCGACTGCTTAAAAGGCCTAACTCACCGGTTTCGGTGCAGAAGAAGAGAAAAAAAAATCGTTATATAACAGCTTATAGTCTGTTTATAATCCAATGAGCAGTCATCTACATTTTGTCATAGGTAGCAATACTTATTTTAATATACCCATCCAGAATACCCACTAATAGTTAACTTTTAGGATATAATCGTGACGCTTGAAGGCTATTGAAGGAAAAATAATTGTTATTAATAAATGTAAACTAATGATTGTATTTATTTTTGTCTAAAAGTGTAATACTAAACATACTACCTCAGTTACCATTAAAATATTATTTTTTCATTAAACAATACGCTGAATCATAATGAATTTACATAAGTATTATAAGTACCTACATTCAATGCTAAAAAATTGTATTTAAAATTATTTATTGAATACAATTACTTAATAGTTACAAGTATATTTAAATACCGGTAACCGATACTACAGCATCGGAGTTTAGAACAAGTATTTTTAAGCGATATAATTTTTTTTTTCGTGTTAAATATTTCTGTATAATTTTATTTATTTAACTCGTATTGGGTTTACAACTCATATAATTGGTATACTATCATTCTATAGTATCGCGTAACGAATTTTAACTTGTTTTTATCGTTTTGTTTAGGTATGGGTAATTTTGAAATTTAGGTAATTATTGAAATCCCTCGTAAAATGTGTTTTATTTGCAGAGTAATATTTTGTTATACTGTTAAATGTTTAATTTCTCGATCACTCATTATTAGTATATACTCATATTTAAAGTACATATTTATAATTAACTCGTTATACTTGACTCAATTATGATACATACCAATGCACATAAAACTGCTCTCGTAGAGTCGATTTAAATACCTAACGTGGCTTGTGTATATTAAATGTAAGGCCAGGGTAAATTTACCAACATTTTTATCAATTGATTCATTTTACTAAAAATATTACAAAATGACCACTCAAATTAAATACTTTTCCAGGTGAATATTTATATCCTTATCATCTAACAATATTTTGATTGATACATGATACCTATAAAAAGTGAAGTGTGAATTAGGAATTATTAATACAAGTGTACTTAGATTTTAGATTATCTATATTTTCAAAACAGTCTTATTTTCTGTTGTTCGGATCTAATTGACCATTATATTATCAATAGGTAAAATTGATATATCATTATCAAACTGATTTCCACACTGCATCATCTTCCTGCCACTTAAATTTAACTTTTTTAAATATTTTTTTATCTTACGAATGGCTATCTGCTATCTATCTCGTATATGGAAAGAATATAAGTATCAAACATTCTAAAGTCATGATTGACTTTTAATTAATACCTATGTTTTTATTTTTAAATGTGTGCCATGGTTTTTTTTTTACAAATATATCAATCAATTAACGCTGTAAAACACCTTAACACATAATAGTTGTACATTTATCTCTTTCACGTATCTATAATTACAGGAGGAAAGGTGTTTCAGCGAGGATGTCCTCGAAGCTATATGTTACCGAAAATATCGGAGCTTATCTATTTGACCGGTAATTGACTACGGCAGAATAATGTAAATATTATTTTCTAAATAACCAGAAAAAATATGTAAGTAAATGTTAGGTACACCTGTTATATTCATGACACCGAGTCCTCTCCTAGATCTCGGGCCATATATTTGAATATAATAATGTATATGATTGACTCCCGCACGTGCACGTCCGTTTGCGTATGTCCGTGAACCTATGTGTGTTTGTGTGAGTACCTATATGGTTTATTTAAATTTCCAACGTATACGGATGAACAGTATTAACATAATCAAACGAGTTTTGGAAGAAGCGTCCGATTTCGTAACGGCCCGATTAGGATTCATTACGTAATTCAATAATAGGATAGCTTATTATGTCGTAATTATAATATGGACCTGCTGTCATCTGTATATATTATTATGTATCATAAGTAATACTCGCCGTTCAACACAATAATAATGTAAATCGTATTAATGTAATATAATATAGCACGTAACATGGAAAAACAAATACAATTTAAAAAAAATATTGGTCCAGTAATCGTAATGTCGTTATGTTATAAATAAACCAGGTGTATCGACTATTTTTCATTGTAGTCGTCAAAAGTTTTCTTTAGTCTATAGGTGAGTAATTTTCATACGCCTATAGGCTTAGTCAAGATTTACAGATTGGGGGAGGGGGGATTATATTATACCACACGTAGACTCAAGAAAAATTGTTGGTGATATTACACCCAAAAACCTCACTCTGATTACACCACTGTATAAACCTCATATACAGAAGTGCATATTACCCATCCCTCAAGTCATCTTATACCTTATGGACAGCACGAACAACGCACGTCGATGAAGCGGTCAATGACACGTGCATACTGCATAGGCTATTTTTTAGTTTCAAAATGTACATTTATTTATAGAGTGGAAAACTTTTTTTGATTGAAACTTGATCACGTTATAACATTCGATTTTTATTTTCCACAAGCCATCCGTC